GGCTTGTTGACAAACAGGTATTTTTTGTTAGACTTAGAAATAATTAGAAATAATGATAACATATTATTTGTATTGAAAATTTTTTTTGTATTTTGCATTACCTTGTCGTCCTGACCGTTTTATATTTTTTGTATCGCCAAATCTTATTATTCAGTTATCTTGTCATATTTTATCTGCATGTGCATAAAAAATTTGATAAAACTGTTGAACATCTCGCATTAGAAGAATAGAACATCTATATGCTTTGGTGGCATGTTTACAAGATGGATACGATAGCAGATCATGGACTTTGTATCTAAAAAAAATTTACTACATACTTAGCATTTTTTTGTTAAAAATAAGAGTGGTTTGTTTACTCTTCATTTTTTTAGCCGTTCTTTTCCAAGTAGCTGGCTGTTAAACACGTTTTCGACTTCTATCCGGAGTTACTGGTTTCGGACTCTGCCCATGAAATTTTCATAACTATTTTGATTTTAAAACGTTTTAATAACTAATTTTAGCTATAAAACTATTTTAATTTTATTCAAACAACACAAATTTTGCAAGGCAAATTTCAATTATAACCAAACGGTTTAACGGTTTTAAAAACACTAACAAACATTTTCACTGACGTCACTTCCTTACCTGACTGTGATTGGTTGCCTCGGATTTGCTGGCATTTGATCTTAACATGTGCTTGGATTTGCTGGATTTTGAAACCAATCCAATATTTCAAATGCAAATTAAGATTAGATTAGGAGGGTTTTGCATCTAAAATTCACTATAAACTTGTAGAGGGCAAGATTATAAATGTTTTGACATGCATAGCTCAAAATTCATAAAAAGTGGATTTGTCGGGTTTTGAAACTAGACGGCTCAATTGTTAAAGAGAACTTTGGTCCAATTAGAGATTTAACTCTTTTGGCACCACTTATGTTAAATCTCTTTAACAACTGAATAATATAGTTTTTCTGATTCAAAGCAATTTAATCTTTATTTGGTTCAAAGTCTTTTTGCAAACCTAAATATTCCTTAATTCAACCAAAGTCTTTAATATCAAATTTATTTTTACGCTCATTTTTTTAGTCTACTTGTTTCACTTTATCATTTCAAAACACAAAAAAATCATCAACATAAATACTACTACGGCCGTAATTTAAATTATTTTCTCTTTTTATATAGATACAAGGTTCATGTTTTGATTTCTTATAATTAATAATATCCAAAACATTATATACTTCATAATTCTAGGCCCTAGAAGACTGTTTAAGCCCATAAATAACCTTCTTTAATTTAAAACATTTTTTACCTGTTAATTCAAAACGCTCTGGTGATGGCATTTATATTTTCTCTTTCAAATGACCATTTAGAAACGCTATTTTAACATCTAAATGAGTAGTATTCAAACCTAATTTTATATAAGTGAGAAAGGCAACCTTAAAGAAGAATGTCTTATTACTGGCGCAAAAGTTTCTGCTAATCTATTCTATTTCTAAATTTTTGTTTTATTTTCGCTATTACACTTTAACTTAAACACCCACTTATTATCAATTACACTACCATTTTCTGGCACATCTACCACATCCCATGCATTGTTGTCACGGAGAAATTAGATTTCATCCATCATCGCTCCTCTGCACTTTGCTCCATCAGGACGTTGTAATGCCTCCGAGACTGTTAACGGAACATTGTATATGCCACTTGTCTCCGCACACATATATGTTACATATTCACAATAATTCTTTTCTTTTTCTTACTCGTTCTGACTTTCTGTGTACTTCTTGTAACGTTTCAGGTAAATTGGGCACTTCAAAGTCTTTATCAATTAAGTTATCTTCCTTAGCTAGATTCTTTCTTCCTTCTACCTAGATCCTTTGTCACTAAAAATAGTACCATTATTTGTTTTGTTTTCCCACTAAATCCAGAGTTCATTTTACCTCATTTTCATCGTTTAATCAAAATGAATCACTTCAAACTTTTTTGTGTCTTCCATAATTTGTACATCTCTGCTTACTATAATTTCTATGGTGGTTAGATTATACATTCTGTATCCTTTTATATTAATTAATATTTAAATGGGAATAAGCCACAATTAAAGGTTAAAGTACGTTTATTGGCGTTTCAATCTCCACTTCGGATATCGTTCTCAAAATACAAACATTAATAAATTAAACAAATTTTGTTTCTTTGTTACTTGCTGAAAAAATTCTTCTAATAATTTAATTTTATCTGACTCATTTATATTGACAATTCAGACATACATTATACTTTTTAAAGTAGACGAATTTTAAATGATGTTGCCAATTGTGCCGAATTGCGTTCCTGGGACGACTTTACTTGTAAGATAGTTCATTCGATTACATGAAATCAACTTTAACTTGATATTATCCGTCACAAAAAATCATAGCAAGTAATTCAGATTCAATCATAGCAAGTAAAAAAACAAACAGATGCCATTATGACAGTAAAATTCTCCTGTTAGTGATTCCATAGTAAATTATGAGGGAAAAACCAGGAAACAACCTCATAGTACTATCCCGACATAGTAAGTATTTGGTCGTGCATTTAGTTTAATTTCAATAAACACCAAATTCTAATTTTATATGTTTGTTATTTAAAAAACATAAATGATGTATCCTCTATACGTTACTGACTTACTAATACTGGTATTTTCCTTTTAATAACTTCTTCTTTTAATATGCATTACCAGATCCTACTACATTCTGCCGAGAAATTTGCGACACAATTGGTCTCATTTAGCATAATTAGAGCCGCTTATTTGATTTTTCTTTTTTTACCATCAGTTTCTTTTAGGACTATATTTGAATCATGTCATTGAACTCTATGTTCATTATCCCATGTGTGTTTACATATTTGAGATCTATCAAATTCTCTATTTTTAATGTAAGATTGATGTTCACTTATTCTAACATTTAATGGACTTGATGTTTCACCTAAATAAAACTGATCGCATTCACAAGATATTTTATAAATACAATTCGTTTTCCTTTCTTGTTTATTTTTAGGTTTGGTTTTAGACAAAATAGATCTCAATGTGTTTTGTTGTTTTGAATGTTGTCGAAATGTTGAATTTATTTCCTATCCCTTTAAGTTTTTCTGATAATCCTTTTATATATGGTATTTCTATTTTCCTCGTATTATTCCTTGTATATGCTGTAGGATCTTGTTCTAATATTTTTAATAATAATTCTTCTTTTATATTTTCAGCATACCCTACGAATATGTACAAAATAGTCTTTTTCTTCCACTTTGACCTTTTTTTCTTTTGGAACGTCTGCCATGACATTGGTGTCGAATATTCGAAGGCCAGTAACATCAGGTTTACTATCTCTTTACATTTCAAACGGTCTTTTGTTCAAAACAGAAGTCAAAGATCTATTTTTTAAGTAAATAGCTGTATTTACAGCTTCAGCGAAAATAATTTTCTGAAGAATGGTATCAAACAAAAATCACCATGGCCTGTTTACAATGGTTCGATTCAAACGTTAGGAAGTTCGGTCCACTTTGTTCAGGAGTAAAGGGATTGATTTTTTGATGTATAATACCATTTACACTTAAATATCTTTCAAATTCTTTTGAACAAAATTCTCCACCATGAGTTTTTATATGAACACACTTTTGGTTTTCAGCCATACTTTTGTAATTCTTAAAACGAATAAAAACCACTTTTTTTAATTAAATAAATGAAGACCATTTTACTAAAATCGTCTTGAAAGGTAACACAATATTTGGAGCCACCCAATGATCTCTTCTCCATAGATCCACATACATCAGTGTCCAATATCAATCCATCTCCAATAAACTATTGGCTCTGGGACTTTGCTGTGGAAACAGTTATCGTGTTTGTTTGCCCTCACAACAAACTATACAGTTTTGTTATTAATGTCAATTTTCCCAATTCAGTCCATCTGAATGTGACATGTGTTTACTGAAATTTACATTTCTGTAAATATTGTTGATATTTCCCAACCTTATATGCCATGTTTCGTTATTGACAAATACACAATTTTCAAAATCTTTATTAACCTTAATATTAAATTTGTACATACCATTTATCAAGTCAGCCTTTGCGATTAGTTTGAAATTTTCGTTAAATATTTTGTATGTCCGTGTACTAGCAACGCTTTTTTAATGTCGCCTAGATCTGTTGAAGGGTGTAAATTACGTATAACAACTCGGAATCCACGGTTTTGTTTTAGTTAGTATGTATGGTTCTGAGTATGTTTTTCTGCTAAATATTTTACGATTAATAAATAGTTTTTGGTTGAGTCAGCTCGAACTTTAATTTGGTTGTTAGCAAGACATTTTAAACTATATTTACCTGGAGTTATCTGCTTTAGAAATTCCTGTAATGGTTTGATACACTCCAATCTTTGCCAATAATCTTTGAATGTAGCTTGTTTGGTGTTCTTAAATTCAAGACTAGTATGGTTGGGTTGACGTTTCTTTTGGTGGGCTGATACCCATTCACCATCACTTTTTACCTCATCTCCATCTGGGAGATGTTTTTGTGGTTTATCTATTTGAAAGTTTGGTAAATTCGTATGTAGATTCTTGTTGCGTGTTTTAAATTTTTCCTGCTGTTCATCTAGTGTGCTGTAACTATCTTTTATGTTTATTTCGAGTGGATTAGTCCAGACTAGGCAGGATTTTGTAATGGCTGGATTTATGTCCTCGATGCGTTGATAACTAGTTGGTTCTTGGTTATGTAGTTGGAGATCCATACCATTCTCTTTATATAATTATTTGCCTTTGCAGGATTCATTGGTGTTATTACACTATATTGGACATCTCCGCATATTTCTTGAGATGTATCGTTAAGAATTGAGGGAAAATGATTTGTTTAATTATCCTAGCTAATAAATGGTTCTGTAATTATTTATTTTTAGCATATTCACATCTTCTACTTGATTATTCATGTCTCAGACTTTCTATATCAAAAGTTTATTTTAGCCTCTACCTAGTATTTTTTTAGATACATTAATAAAAATGCATTTTAAAGCTTGTCATTTTAATAGTAATGAATGATATAAATAATGATTTACAAAAATTTGAGATTAAAATATATTTATACGTTTAGAAAAAACGGTTACTTAAGATCTACTGCTAGTTTTGGTACTAATCGAGAAAGACTTAGGCCTAGTATGTATAAAATAATTCTGCCAAGCCAGTCTAGTTTCACTATTAAAAACAACATAAAATAAAAACAATATAAATCCTTGCACATTCGAAGTGATGGAGAATATATAGATTAAAGTTATCTTTATCCACTGAATATATATCAAACTTGCAAATACCCAAAATATCCAAGGTATGCCCAATACGAAAAATAAGAGAAAACCAAGTTGTATTTGTAATTTTTGAACATTTTCCTTGCTTCCGTGAGATTCCACCGTGTTGGAAGTGACTTCTCTCATTACAGTGAAAAATACGAATGTGTTTATTGATATAATTAATAAAACTGGTAAACCTATACCTAAATAAAGATAGATTCCTTCAGGATAGCAGTAGTTGTGTTTTCTCATTTTATATGTAGCTGAATAAATGTTTGTAATGCTCACTGGCAAGATAGCAAATCCCCATCCAAAAATAGTCGATTTAAGTACTATATTTTCAGGCAAGATAGATAGTACCTTTACAAATCTCATGTACTGCAAGAACGAATAGACCAGCATCCAACAAAATTTACTAATGACCATATAGTGTATAAAAATACCAAAAACTGAGCAAGCGTCCGGCAATGAAAACATATTTAAATCAGTCAACTGCATTAAAATGGTTTCCAAAAATATAGAAACAGACAAATGTAACAAAATAGTTGTTCCTGGTTTTTTACGCCATTTCTTAAACATCATTGCTGTCACAAATATTCCACTTACACCAAGTGCTGACATAATATCACCAATTATTGTTATGATGTCAAGAATAATATAATCTGTCTCAGTTATATCAGCACCCAACGATTCTCTTAAAAGAGAAAAGTGCGTTAAATGGAATACATACAAATATGATAAGTACTTATATTACTTAGTTGTCCAACGTACGTTCCTCCAACTTTCGACCAATGTCCCTTTCTTCTTACGGTCTTTTTGCCATAGTCCCAGAAGACGCATTCTGGTGTATCGGTGAAATTAGTTACATCAAATAAAATCGGTATAGGTGTAGGAAGATAACCTCCAAATTCAGGTATAGTAACACTTATTACTGGACCTGAAGGCTTTTTAGTATAGTTGCTTTCAAAAAAAGCATCCTTAAAATAAACTGTCGTTATTACTGTTAGATTTGAACCGTTCTTATAATGAATAATTTCTTCTGGTATAAGTAAAGCAATCAATGCATTTGACCTAACCTCACGAAAGGTACTGTTTCTAGGAAGATCCTCAACATACGGAGCTTCCCCACTTTGTTGATAAACAACCACGCCACCAACTCCGCTTAACACTGGGTTAGTTACATGTATAATAACATTGTTTCTTTGCAAACATAAATGATCATCTTCAATAGTAGTACTTGTAAGAATATTTTCAACTAAATCTATTAAATCATCTGTAACGTTTAACAGTTCTTGTGAATAAACCAACGTTTCTTTTTGTACTTCAAGTATACTATCTGTTAGATCTATGGTACTATTGATAGAGTTACTTATTGTTGTGTTTGTCTGTGAATAAATCTTATCCAAAAACTTTGAAGCGTAATAAATTGATATAACTGGTAGATCTGGATCATTCCTAATCAGATTAGTAATGTTAGTAATAGTTTCGTCGCTGACACTTTCGTTTAAGGCACCATATAAATACTTGGTGCTATCAGGAATCGCAGTGTTGGAGGCACAGCTTCCTATCACATCTTTCCAGGTTGCACCAGTTAAAAAATGACCACCGCAATACCGCACTACTGGAAGCGAGTTATGTTGCAGGCATAATTGATCTGGTACTGCTCCTTGACCCATAGGTGTAAGAGGCCAGTCTAATCCAACGGATTTTTCCGGTAAGCAATATTCAGAACTTCTGATGTAATTAACAGTTAGCTCGTTTTTCTCCTCCTTTTGTTTTATTTGGTCACAAACGTACTTGTAATTTTCCATAACATTACCCGTGCCTTTAGTGGTTACATGGAGTAACAGATCTATGGCTTCAAAGTCAAAACTGTAAATCTCCATAACCCGAACCTCTTGTCGAAAATCGGTAAAAGTATTTTTAATTATAGTTTCAAAGTCAATATTATAAGTTATGTCACAAGGAAATAAGATACAAATACTTCTGATTACTAGTCTTGCAGCAAATTCACTACCTGTCTTAGTTTTATAAGCCAAAACATGGTTTGAATTAATCTTATTTTCGTCATTATCGTCCATATCTGTATAACCTTCACACCAATAAACTCCAATATATTCTTCTAATTCCACTTCATATACATTGTAAGGTTCGGCAGTATCTTTGTTGGAAAATAAGAACGACACTTTTTTTCTTTTTTTCAACTCATACGCATCTGCGTCAGTAAAACAATATATTGTCTGATCAAGACCTTCGTTAAATAAACTTTCAGGATGATAGATCGTAAGACACAAACTGGAACTATTTTCATCAAAGGCTAAAGCCATCTGTGCTTCATACTTAGTTGAAGATTTATATCTAGTAGTAAGACACATTCTGCAGTTTAAAGGTTCGTTAGTATAGCTCCAACGGTTAACGCTTATTGACTGCATTAATCCTGCAAACGATTCATCTGGATCATTATTTTTCCCAACATAGCAAACATCGTCACGATTATCATCACGTATAATATCTTGAAGAACTGTAAGATCGTAAATATTGTCAACTCTGGCAAGATCTGGACAATCCCGTTCATATTTGCAGTAACAAGAACCCGAAATATAATCAGCACTAATACAGTTTTTCGGACATTTAGAGTTTGTCAGCTCCTTAGAAAACTCACAAATATATCGATGCGTACTGTTACAAAACTCCGGATAATATTTTTTTGATGTACTATCGGCAACCAAACAGTTCTTGTCAAAAAAATTAGGATCACTCAACGAAGCACTTATGGGATTATCAAATGGAGTGCCAAATTTATCACCAAAAGCAACCGATTCAAACCGACCATATGCTGTTAATCTTTTATAAGGTAACCATATAAGTTCGTTTTTTAAAGAAGTGTTATCAGGTTCCATATTTAAAGTTTGCGAATTGCAAATATGCCCCCATGGTTGAGCGGGAGCTATAAATAGGCAACTGGTAGGAGTTTCTTCGAATTTTGGAGGACAAGTTCGTTTTTTTCCTGTTGCTTTTGGACAAACTGTTTTAGCAATGTCTGGTATCCATTTACCATTTTTACATACTCTTGTAATCAAAGTCCCATTTTGATGGATACATGGTGGAGTAGATAGGATTATTTCATTCTGAATTCCACTTGAATACCAAAACGCCTTTTGCGATGTGTTACCTACAGTAGATTCTTCATATCTGCATGCCTAAAAATAAAAAACAACAATTAAAATATAGTATTGTATAGGCATTAATTATACCCTCTGTCCTAAAAGTAATACATAAAATTCATAATATTGTTTCTGATCAAGTAGAAAAAAAAACACAGTATCAGATCGATTTTTATTTTCAAATTGTAATTTTTTGTCGCACCTCTAATTTTTTCCCGTTAAGTATATTTATCGAAGTTATTAAAAAATATGTGTTATACCGGTGAATTTTTTCGTTAAAACTGTTAGGCCAGATAACATACGAGTATAAGAGCTGAAACAACCCATTAGAGAAGAGATTTTAAATTTCCCTTTTAATATCAGAATGTCTCTAAAATCTGTCTACCATTGCTGGATGCAGATCACAAGTTTCTTCAATTTTTTTTATAACAAACAATGAATAAATTGAACAACGATGTCAATACAATTGGAGACTAGACGAGAAATTGTAGCTGCGTTAGAAGCGCTTTTCAATCAACACAATGAATTAGTTCAAAAGTTTTAAACCGTGATTCAACGAATGTCAGCCACTAGCTACGCAGTTGTAGTTCGAGCAGAAAAAAGACCCATTGACCAACACAAAAGACATTTTAATGCACAACAATTAATGAAGTGGCGATCGTGATAGTTGGCGAAGAATTCGAATCGCGCCACATAATGCTTTTAGTCGTTCAGCAAAAGCAAACGTTCAGCGAGTTTCCAAAACTCATTGCTCATACGAAGGATTGCAGTATCCGATTCTGTTTTGGTGAGGAGAAGATGGAGCTAGTTCCGTGAATTATTATTCGCATTGATTCGTCAAGACGCTGAGAACCACATTCTGAAATGTCGGCAATTATTGATACATAAATACTTCGTCGATATATACGCGACGGGTGAAACTTAACGACTCTTATATATTCTTTGAAAACAAGGCTATTATCGAGCACAAGTTAATTAAATCTAGCCCAAGTACTTTCGCTTAAAATAGCATCTTCAGGGGCATTTCGTCAAAATAAGAACTATCCGGCAAGCGTAGAATGTGGAAACATTAAAAATAACATAAATTATACAAAAACACTACACTAAAACGAGGACAAACAGTTTAAAATTACTTCTACGTAGAATTTCGTCGACGATCAGTTGAGGATGGCGGCAAATCCTTCATTCTGAAAATACTAAACATTGATGTTGATAAGTCGATAATTGTTGGGCTGCGCCATATTCACCATTGCTCTCACAGACCTTTAAAGCGTACATTAATGTTAAATACTGCAATTGTTTGCGAATTGCAAATATGCCCCCATGGTTGAGCGGGAGCTATAAATAGGCAACTGGTAGGAGTTTCTTCGAATTTTGGAGGGCAAATATTGCAATTCAGTGAAGTGGATCACATACATTTACAAATATGTCAACAAAGGACATGGCAGTCTTCGGAGTAGAAAATGTGGCCGCACCACTCGATGAAATCTACCAATACCAACTTGGGCGCTACATTAGTACAATCCATTAACGACATAGAACAGTAGTACACTTGGCGGTTCATCTCGAGAATGGACAGCGCGTATACTTCACAGCAGATAATGTAAGTGCAAGATTATTGGTTGTACAGACAATAACTTTAACTGAATTTTACTCGTTATGCTAAGATTACCTTTGGCAAAGACTCTACTTTATTCTGAGAGACCGCAATTCTACACATGGAATGCATCGGCTAAAAAGTTTCAGCATCGCAAACAAGGTAAAGCAGTTGAAGGACATCCCAAATTGTATTCCAGTGACGCGTTGGGTCATCTGTATACTGTTCACCCAAACAATACGGAATACTTTGTTAATTTATGTACGTGAACCAACATCCTTCCAAAATTTAACAACAGTCAACGGTCAGCTGTACGCTACTTATCACAAATCTTGCAAGAAAATAAATCTTCTTTAGAATGATGAACACTGGGACACTACATCCGCTGATACATATATGCACTGCAATAAGTACATTATTTGCCATGATATTGACAATCTGCTCCCCATCTAATCCAAAAGATCTTTGGGATAAATATATATACTTTATAAGATTTTGTTGTTGCCACGTATCCCAATGATCCTGACAGATATGCCATTCGAATTCGAATGTTTTTAGTTCCCGATGCAACTCGCTTTCGAAATGATGCTCAACAAACCACAAGGACAACGGTTGCAAGTGTGTTGATTAAATTTGGAGAATCCATGTTTTTCACATGGCCAGCCCTATGTGATCTGCTCACGCGTCGAAAAACTTTCTAATTAATTCGTTTACGCACCAAAAGAAAAAACAAATAATATTCAAAACAAAATGAATTGAATATTTGTGTAATGTCTTTCCTTCAAATTTATTTTAGTTGGTGGCTTAACAAAACGCGCATAGTGCAGCTAGTTTGTTAATAAAACTCAAAACCGAAATTTCATGCTATAGGTTTTGATGATTGGGCTCTAATAATGGAAATTCCACTACAATTGATCAACGAAAGAAGTACATTTTACTATTATCGATTAATTTTGATTCTGGTGGATATTAGGATAACTATACAGCCTTTTTTCCTTCAAATATTCGAAGAGACCATCCTCTACAATCTTTAACATACTCAGTTTATATTCAAATGTCTTTTTTACTACTTTTTTTTAAGGTGTTTTCATGGACTATACGAAATTAACCCCGAAAAACAAACAGTTATCTTGCAGTTGAACATTGAATCCATTCATTCAAATATTCACATAAAAAATGTCTAATTTCACTGATCATATCTCACTTTGTATTGTTTCTAAAATGTCTTGTAAAAAATTAATCTTAATCCACTTTTATAAGCTTTATTTTTATTTTGCACACTTTTTTGATCAAAGGCATATATTTTGAGTTATTTATTAAAAATTGTTAAATCATCAATACCTCAAACATTATTGACTTTCTGAAAAACTCTATGGAACAAAAGTTACTTAGAATTTAATCCTCTTTCGATTTTCGTGATTATTTTGAGTAAAATAGCTTCCACCCCGAAAAGGGGTGGCAATCACCCCTGAGGCGGAAGCACAGACCGCTGTTATATAATTTTTGTTATTTGAGCTCTTTCCCATCAACTCGCCAATTTTCAAGTGAATCGGTTATTTTTCTTCTTCTTTTTTTCTTTTTATAAGCAATTTTACTTGTTCATTGGCGGATTAATACCTCTATGGAAAGTTGTCACTCCATCTTTTACACGGTCGTTTAATACTTCTTCTGCCGATTGGTCACTTATTTCATGCTATTTTCACGACACGGGTCTCCTCCATTCTGTTTATGTGGTTATTCCATTCTTTTTTTTTCTATTTTGTGTCCATTCATTTATACACTGTGCCTTACATTTTCTTCTAATGTTTTCGCTTCTCTTTCGATCTCTCAGCATAATTCCTGTAATTCTTCTCAGTACTATAATTTCTGCCGTTTCCAGTAGCCTTTGCGTAATCGCTATGTCTGGTCTTGTTTCTGAGGCATATGTCATTATTGGTCTTACACTTGCTTTATAAATTCTTAATTTCATCCCAGTGTTAATGTGTCTGTTTCGCTATATAGTGTTATTAAGGCACCTTGCCAGTCTATTTGCTTTTTGTACTTGATCTCTCACTTTTTTGTCCAGGTCTCCATAGCTAGACAATGTAATTTCCAGGTATTTTATTTCCATTACTTGTTCAATACTGATGCCATCAATTTCTATTTTACATCTGGTTGGTTCTTTTCTGACTACTAATGTTTCAGTTTTCTGAGATGAGATTGTCACATTAAATTCTTTTACTCTTGTGTTAAATCTATAGACCAGCCTTTGCAGAGTATCTTCATCTTGGGCTATCAATAGTGCGTCGTCTGCGTAACAGAGTATTTTTATTTTTTTGTTTCCCATTCTGTATCCTCTTTTTTTGTTAATGCTTTTGATGATTTCATCAATGATTAAATTGAAGAGCATGGGACTCAATTAATGCCCTTGTCTTATTCCGTTGCCTATTTCTATAGGTTATGTAAGTTGTCTACCTATTCTGACTTCCATTTTGTTGTTTTGGTAGATGTTTTCGATAGTTTTTATAATATTTAGAGGAACTTTTTTATTATACAGAAGATAGATTACATCTTTGAGTCTTACTCTGTCAAACGCTTTCTTTAGGTCAATCAGACACAGAAATGCTGGTCTATTGATTTCTATTGATTTCTATAGTCTAGTGATTTCTCAGTAATTTGCTTTATAACGAATATTGCATGGTCTTCAACTACGAAAAGCCTGTTGTTCACCTACTAAACTTATCCTCTTATTAGCGCTTGCAAAATTTTAATTTTAAGTTTTGGCATAGTGTTAACATAAGTTTATACCTCTGTAGTTTTTTGGCTGTTTTTTATCTCCTTTTTTTAATAGTAAAATTAGTCCTCTCGTTCTCCGTTTTTTTGGTATTTTATTGTGTTTTATAATTTTATTAATTAATGTTGTTAATTATTCTCTCATTGCTGCTCCACAATATTTCAGTAATTCGTTTGGTATCCCGTCTTTACCTGCTGCTTGTTTGTTCTTCAGATTTTAAAGTATTTCCGAACTTCCTGTACATTTATATTGTTTTTCATTTATGATAGTTTCTGATGTTTCCGGTTCTAGCGTCGTTTGTTCTTCCTTTGCATAGATCTTTTTTAGGTAGTTAATCCACGTATGCTTTTCTATGTGTTTTCGTTCTATTAGTTCCTTTACCCCCGTTCTTTGACCTCTTATGTGTTTCGTTTCTAATTGTCTTGTAATTATGGTATGCCTCTTGTGTTTTGGTTAACATGTATTTCAGGAAAGCTTTTTTCTTTCTTTACCTTAACTTCTGTACAAAACCATGGAGTTCTTTGCCTTGGTAACGATTTATTTTTATTTATATTTCTTTCACCAAAAACTTTTTTTGACGACGCGTACATATTAGACTTAATTTTTGCCCAGCTTTCTTCGACTCTATTACTTTCTACGATACAATATGTGTTTCTGCTTTTTTCG